ATCTATAATGTTTAATATTTTGTCATGGATTCCTTAAGTATAGCATCCAATTTCATACAATAAAATGTTTTGTTCTTATATTAACCCTTTACGGCCCAATGTTGCCACAGGCAACAACAATTTTTATAGCTTATATTTAATACTCTGCTAGTAGATATATATTCTTTGGATTTCATATGTCAAGACCTGATTATGGACGACACATATCAAAATAAAAATCAAAAAATTCAAAATTTGTGGTTAAATTATGAGCTTTTCAATATAGAGAATAGGGTCAAAATGTGTACAGTACTAATTTGTGTATACAGTACCAATTATTTAAGTCGCTTCGTATTCAAATTGTACGAATTCTGTCATCAGAATTATTTTTGATTCTTGTAAAACAGAATATGAGAAAAATTTAAAATGACTTTTCCGTCGATTTTCTTGATATTGTGTTTTTTTCAGAAAGAAGGCTTTTCTCCCGAAAGCAATGATGTATCGATGACAAATTTTGTTCATATCTTATTTATCTTATTTAGTTTAGTTGCATTAAATTTGTGAACAGAAAAGTTAGGGTTAAAATCAGCGACATAAACCAAATATATACTCAAAGTTGAACTCGAGATGTCGGTGTAATATAATAACACGACATAATAGTTGTGTTCCTGTACGCACAAGCACCCGCCCACAACTCTTACAATTTTTATGAGTAAAGCATTTACGTACTTAAGAACTAAAAAAGAGTTACAGAGGGAGTGACGAAAATATGAAATAAAAAGTTTTCAAATGGAATACATGATTGGTAACGTCTGATCGACTTTTGTGTTCAATTTGTGGAGCAAGGTAGATATATTAATATACATTTCACTCTAGTGTTTAAATATTTGTCGGTCTCCGTATTTTTACGTGCATATTTGCAGTCTATATATGAATTGTGTATTTTATTTCGATGATATCATCCTAAGTTGTATATTTTTATTTTCCCATTTAGTCATAACACAACATCATTCTATTACGATGAAAACACAAAATATACTTTAGATTTCTAATTAATATGGGTGTATATTTTAGTTATATTTATACTTTTCCAATATAAAGCAAATTTTCAACATTGATGATATTTTCTTTCTCATCATTAGAACATTAATCGATATCTTAAAAATAAAAAGAAAGTGCTTTCGCTTGAAGTTGTAATTAGTTTTTCATAATTCTTACAATGGAATTATATATGTATATGTTTGTCGTTCTTGGGAAACGTCAATAAACAGAAGACTTAAGCGACATCACAAATCATAGGAGAATATTTAGAACGCAAAGGCGTGCATGCATTTTCTGAAGAAAACTGATGCAGAATATATATTTAATCGTCATCCTGTAATTCCAAGAATTGGGTACAAACATCTCGACTGCATTCACCTTTGCTATTGAACAGGAATTTATAGTAATGGCCATCGGCACAAATAGCTGTAATGAAATATTTAAATGATGAACATTGAATTTAAATTTGTAACTTGTTAAAAAAAAATTACCTATTACAGAATTAGAATCTGAGCCAAAAGCACAAATACATGGTGGTTCTTTTGGTATGGAAAATTTAACAAAACTCCACTGACTGGAAAAGTACTTGGGAACAATTGGTAGAGATGATTCTTTTGGCTTGGTATCATCCAAATTGAACACATGTATGGTGCCATGATCGGATGATACCACCAACATTGTGGAGGCATGGTTGAAATTAATGCAATATATTGTGGCCTGGTTACTGCCGCGTCGTAGTTCATTGACTTTTTTGCCAGTTTCTGTGTCAAATATGCGTATTAAAGTACCCTTTTCACTGGCTGTGGCCAACCTGGTTCCTTGTAGATTGAAAGCAATGCAGCAAATGTTCGCTTCGTGTGCTACTATTTCCAGAGCAGCTCTTTCTGTATTGCCCAAATCAACGATCTGAAAACAAAAAAATAGTTTCAATTGCAAATGTGTGTTGATATGTATTGTTGATGCTCCTCACCTGTACATGCCCGGTGCGACGGGCTGGGAATGCCAACAAACTTTTATTACTATGCGGACACAAAACACACAAACCATGAGGATTGGAATTTGTCTCAAAGACATGTAATTGCCGGGGTTGTTGGGTAAACGTGAAGACCTTTATAAAACCCGCAAACACAACAACGATACGGTCCCGTCTTAAGCGAACAGCCTTAACTGGCTGATTAAAGTCTAAGGAAATGGCTGGCGCTTTTTTGAGGTCATCCCAGATAATCAGCTTATTTGGTGGGTACAATGGACGTATTCCACCACCAACAACAGCCAAATAATTACAGCGAAACAGCATCTCAACATAGCTGAGGCCCCCTTCTGGATAATATTGCCGTTCTTTTTCCTTCAAAGGATCACTATTGAAAACACGAAATCCCGAATCCGTGGCACAGGCGAAACAACCTTAAATAAAAAAATCATCAAAGCCGCGTCCAAATCATTGAAAATGAAGTGGTAACTTACCTTGATCTTGATTAAATCCTACATATTGCAATCCATTTCCATAGGGATTATGATCCACCAAATCCATGACTTTCCTTTTTGCTAGGTGTCTGTTGTTTTTTTGCGTACTTTTGTTGTTTTATCGATTATAGGTCAAATCTGAAATTCACTTATATTTTGTTTGAAACCGAATAAAAAAATTATTGGCATAAAAACACAATCTTACATTTTCAATGGTTCTAATGATGATGTTTGATATTGCAGATACTTATTATTATTATTATCTTTTTCCTCAAATCATTCCACCAAAACAACTATTCAATGTTTTTATCTCTAAAATGAAAAAAATACATATATACCAGGGATGACTAAGTCGACTTTCGACCAAAATCCAGTTTTGACGTGCCAAAGATGAGCGAGACATTTGGTCTGTTCCCGTACTAGAAATACTGCAAAACTTTATGAAGGAACAGTCGAAAACAATTTGGATTGATGGCAAGCAATATTTTGGCGAGCGTGCCATTCAAAAGTAATAGTGCGTAAAACCGATTAATAAATGATTCTTGCAAGTTTAGGAACAGTGAAAATATATAATGTGGTACAAATCTTTAAGGCGAGTATACACTATCATTTTTGACTGTCAAATCTTTTATCGATTACTGACTGTCCAACAACCAAGAATATTTTTTTCGTTGCGTGATGAATGACGAACATGAGAGGCCACACTATCAAACAAGCACAATTTGGGCAAATGTATCATTCACAAGTGGTAGTTGTACACCCTCCAGAACCTGCAAGAATGTATGATAACACATTTTCCTTTATAATATCAGACGCACGCAAAAAGTTAAAATAGCGAGTGTTAGTGTTATCGTTTCCTTGTGGTTGTTGTATTTTCGATAATACATAAAAGGTCGTTTACATTTAACCGGATTTGGTTAACCCAGTGGGTTTAAATTTTCAATTCCTTTGAATATATGCCAAATAAATCCACATAATGTAGGTTAACCCGGTAAACAGTTCTAATGTAAATGCCGTATAACGCTACGGATGGTTGTTATGTGCTCATTTTGTACACAGATATTGTCATTTTTTCTCTGGGTGTAATTGAACGTCATCATGTTGCTGTTGTATTATCGATAACAAACAATTCTCCATTTTCCCCTTTGAGTTGCTTCTTTATCGACCATTTTCAACTTCTCCACCATTTTTAGCAGTTGGAACGTTTTTTAGTTCGTCTGCATATTGTATACTCAGTCAGTTCACAGTTTTCATTTTTGTTTAGCGTTTTAGTTTTGTTTTATTGAATTTATTTATTTTTGTACTTGTTTTATTGTCGGGAAATGAGTGAAACAAAGAAATCGAATAGCATAGAATTGAAATATATACAAATTAAGTGATTATTGCAAAAGAATTAAGTGGAAAATCCAATGTGAAAAATAGTTTGCATCTCGTTAATCAGTTTATGAAAAATCGAAAAAATCAAAATCCGCCTTCTAGAAACGCGTTTTCTGTGTGCCAGCCAACATTGTGTCGTCGTAGTTGCCGTCGTCGCCGTTGTTGTTGTGTCGTGGTCTCAAGTTATCTCGGGAGGTTGCTGGTTGGTGGTGGTGTTTAACTTGTTGGCTGCCTGTCTGGCCAATCTGTGCATGTGTTCGTTGTTGTTGTTGTTGGTGGCTTCATTTGTTAGTTGGCCAAAACAAACCTAGCGTAAGCTGACTTTTCTTCTTTCCTGTGTGTTTTGTTGTTTTTGTGCTATTCTCGTCGTCACTGCAAGTCTATTTCAACTCGTCGAGGAGCAAGCATAGCTAAGCTACACCACACCACACTTCTGCTGCTGCTGGGGGAGAAAAACAGGATCAAGATTAGTGTGACCGCAGAAAAATCAATTTCAAGTTTACGTCTCCAGCTTTGCAACACTCACCTGTATGCATACATACATCATCATCAGCAGCATCATCGTAAGCCAAAATACCGCAAGCCTAGGCTAAAAAAGTTGTACTGAGCAGAGAGTTGTTTGTTGTCTGTCGTCGTCGTCGGCTGGTTGGCTGGATGGCAGTATTCTTGACATGAGTATTGTGGTCTGTCGCATCATTTTCAACAACTCTGTCAGGTAAAACGGAAGCAAAAACATTAAATGTTGATCATTTGCTATTGGCGATCTTTCGAGGAAGGCAAAAAGTGGAAAGCGATTTAACGAAGATTCGTATAGTAAAAGTATTCCGAGTATTGGCAGACGGAACGATAGATTCCCTTCCTATGTGTGAAAGAAATCACAAGCGAAAAACAACAACATTAAGCAATCAACAAACTCAAACTCTAGCATCATTAGCTGCTTCACCTTTGACGTTTACTACATCGTTCATTGTCTTCGTTTTCTTCATTGCCGTTCGCACACAATTCACAATTAAGTAGATTTGGTTGGTTTTCTACAGCACACCACACACACTCTCTCTCCGTTTTATTTGGTTTGGTGTTTTGTCATCGTAGTTAGTAGCATCATTATTACCAGCACCGGGTCAACACCACCGATACTATACCAATATGCTGAGGTTCTTAAGTCGACGTAAAGCTCGTAATAATTATGTAGAAACTGCTAATGCAGATAATGCAAATGATCGCACCGATGGGCGAGGTCCTTATGGGGCTGGAGGAGGTGGCGGTGCTAATTCCTCACAGATCAAGCCACAACGAATACCGGTCAATAAGAACAAGATTGATTGCCGCGTTATACTTTTGGATAATACAGATCTCTCAATTGAATTGTCGGTAAGTGGGGACTATTAAAAGTCCGGGAGAAATTCGAAAGAAAACATTTCTGCCAACTCTGAAAATTTATATGAAAAACAAACTAACGCCCCTCTTTTTGGGTATATTAACATAATCTCACGAAAAATTATACTTTCATGCCGGAGATGTGTCATTGTTATGAAAGCGCGCATTCCTACCATTTGATATTTGTAATTATCACGTAGATTTTCATGCACAGTAGTTTGGACAATAATAATAAAAAATATATTACACATATTGGGAGATGAGAAATGTGCATTCCCTCTTCCAAAAAGAATAAATGTGAATTTCCATATCATTATTTTTGGAAGATGGAATTCCATTTCTATATTTCTATAATACAAGTTGGAATGCCTAAGAAAATAGCCTCCGGTATAATTAGTCAAATGTCAGCAAAAGGTGTCAACTTAAGATTTATAAAATACAAACCAAAACTAACATTAGTTAAAAAGAGTTTATTTAGAAAATCTAGAGATTAAATTGTCAATGTCTCACTAGTATTAAAAAAAAAACCAATTTCGATATTCGCATGACATTATACCATTAAATTTATATTGTTTTTGGTCTGACTGGCCTTGTGTGCTGTGACTAAAGTAAAATGTGTGAATTATAGTTTGTTTGCAAAACATTATCAATATGCAAAGATATGATTCTTCTTTTTAAACTCGCAGCGTTGTCATTACGCCAACGCTTATTTATTTATTTAACCTGTCAATACGCACAAGAATTTTTTCCCAAATATTATCAAAGATCTAATGTTTTTTTGTGCTTTTAGAAAAAGGCAATGGGCAACTTTCTGTACGAACAGGTATTCTACAATTTGGATATTATTGAGAAAGACTATTTTGGTTTGCAATTTATGGATGCCAATCATGTTAAACACTGGCTGGATCCCACAAAACCCATAAAGAAACAAGTGAAAAGTAAGTAAATTGCCTCTCTCTTAATATTCACACATTTAACATTTCTAAACACTTTCAGTTGGTCCACCCTATACATTCCGTTTGAGAGTAAAATTCTACTCCTCCGAACCAAATACTTTGCGTGAAGAGTTAACTCGTTATTTGTTTTTCCTACAATTGAAAAACGATCTACTGGAAGGTCGTCTGGAATGTCCTGAGGATAAGGCAGCCGAATTGTGCGCTTTGGCATTACAATGTAATTATATTTAAACCACCTACCTCTACATGAAAAGATTAATAATGGTGATTTATATTTCAGCTGAATTGGGTGATTATGACGAACAGGTTCATACTGCAGCCACTGTGTCGGAATTTCGTTTTGTTCCCGATCAAACAGAAGAATTGGAAATTGCCATTTTAGAAGAATACAAAATGTGTCGTGGACTTACTCCAGCCCAAGCTGAATTGGCTTTTCTCAACAAAGCCAAATGGCTGGATATGTATGGAGTTGACATGCATACAGTTCTGGTAAATATTACATTTATAACATTTCTCAATGCATTTCTAAAATCTAAAATTAATTTTTAAAGGGAAAAGATGGATGTGAATATCATTTGGGATTGACTCCCACCGGTATATTAGTATTTGAACGTGATCAGAAAATTGGTCTATTCTTTTGGCCAAAAATAAGCAAACTGGATTTTAAGAAGAAAAAACTGACATTAATTGTCATTGAGGATGACGATGAGGGTCGTGAACAGGAACACACCTTTGTATTCCGCTTGTACAATGAAAAAGCCTGCAAACATTTGTGGAAGTGTGCCGTAGAACATCACACCTTCTTCCGTTTGAGGGCACCTGTCAAGGGACCATCAGCACGTCAAAACTTCTTCCGCATGGGTTCACGTTTCCGTTATTCCGGCCGTACAGAATTCCAGGCTACCGTCCAGAGTCGAGCAAGACGTACCGTACAGTTTGAACGTAGACCGTCTCAAAGATTTGCCAGTCGCCAATCGCATTTGATGCGAGAACGCCAGAAGGCTTCGCAAGAGAATGCTGCTAGTGCTTTGGCTTCTGTGAATGCCAGAGCAGCAGCCGCGGCTGCAGCGTCAGCAACGGCTTCGCCCTCAACCCAACCACCATTGCCCCTAACACCTGACAATCTAAATGCAACTGTCGATTCCATTCTATCCACGGCCACCGTTGACAATCAACCCACCATTAATACTATTACTCCCTCGCCTTCCATTCAAACGGTTATACACAACACGTCGGTATTTGATGATGCCATATGTGGAAGTTCAGTTCATTCGGGTTCACAGAATAATGCCTGTGCATCATTAGGCCGAAATTCGATTAGATCGAATTCGAGTACTGATGATCCGGCGTACAGTAAAATTGGATCATTGGGTAAAGCAGCTGGTTTAACTGTGAAGTAAGAGTGTGATAAAATACCAACACTTTCAACTGTTATTCATTAATTTTTGTTTCGTTATTTTGTTATAGATTGGATCCAGAATGTACTGGTGCTACAAATATTGCTCCTTATTCACCGAATAATATCAAAAACTTTGAGGAAACAAATCCATTCCGTACCAATATTTCACATAATGGTTCATTTGGCAAAGCATCCATACACTCAGGACTAAGGTTTGTATCTGTTGGTGTAGGTTGATTTATTATTTATTAATGATTTTATTGTAAATGTTAATACATGTAAGCTTTATGTATTGTTTATGGCACAATAATGAAGGTAGTCTATGTGTGGTTGTAGATGTGTGCTACGCTTCTAATATGCTGAACTAAATTGCTATATGGTGTTATTCGATAATCCCAAAATTGTCATTTTACCTGTATTGTAACTAGTTGCAGTGATTAAATTTTAATTGATTAAAAAGAATTGTCATACTAAAAGTAAAAACATTAACATATTGCTCGGAAAGATTAGTGTCAAAATTAGAAACATAGCCAGCAGGTAACAACATAATAAATTCTATTATTGTCTCATGACACACTAACAATTTTGTTTAGTATTGCTTGCAGTCTATTTATATAATTTGTACAAACACCTTATAGACAATTTGAGTGAAATTTTGCATACAATTATTTTTAAGAATTTTACAACATGTACATTTTTGTTCGTTGTATTGTGCTGTAACAATTTTCTATCTGTTCTTATATATTTTTTTGATTTTATATCTTTGTGTGTTTTTATGTACAGCATTAAGAGTGGCTTGTCGGATAAAGATAAAGAGCTAGATTCATTACTAAAGTCCATTGTTAAAGACCCATCCCCATCAGTTTTAGCTACTGAAGCAATTAACGATGCTAACAGTATCAGGTAGAGTAAATCTATTATCAATAATGACATTTAATTGAATGTGTATTCATTATGTGATTTATTTTTAACACTTACTAATGTTTATTACAATTTTTAGAGTAACCATCAATAAAACCTATGATATGGATCATAATACGGAAACCCTGAAACGATTATCGAATTCGGAAAAGCCTAATAATCAAGTGAAATTGGCTAATGTTGGAGCTGGTGCTTTACCGCCTGGACATATAAAATGTAATATTTTAAAAGGTATGTTTTGTAATTATGTATGTTATGTGTATTCAATGAAGTCGTATTGAGCCAGTTTTGTTTTTATGCAATCGGCAATTTCAATGTAATTTTATGCACAATTATATTCCCACATTGTGTTGAACTATTAATTCTTGGATTAATAAGATTAACTTTAAATGTATTCTAATAATTGTTACTCTTATTAAAATGAAAGTTCAAGAAATGTTTAAATTAGTCCGCGACGACCCAGATAAACTCTAAAGTTTAATGTTTCAATACGCGTCAATTTGTTGAAGAACAAAAGTCGACTTACACCATTGTAACGCCCCTGTCCACATATTGTCTGGGCAAATTTGTAGGTAAAAAATCCCACATTAATGATTGGTGATGAGAAATAATGAGGTCCATGAAAGGACGACTATGATTGAAGGCATTGGAAATATATATTTGGATGAATAAGACATTTCAGATTCCAATAAAATTACTAAATTATTTACCTTGAGTCAAGCCCGTTTCGGTTTAAGCTTATTCTAACAAGACAATTTATGGTAACTAATTTGTACTTTTGTTTATTTATTCCTTTTATAGCTCGTGTCGAAGAAGAGCTTGGAGCTAATACAAATGCTAAGCTAACGAATCAAATGTTTGTGCCTGCAGCCACATCGTTAAATAGTAACAACAATAACAACAACATCATTGGCAATAGTAACCTAACGAACAGCATTATACATCACAGCGAAGGACCGGACTCACTCAATGCCACCTACATTTCAGTGGTAAGCAATAACATTCTAATAATAATGGGATTTCTGTTGTGTTTGCACACAGCTTGAGTTTACCAAGAAGGCAGCAGTTTAGCATGCTAACGACTTAATATGGCCCGGCATTTATTGCTCTACAAAATTATTTATTATGTGTGTGTGCGTGTATGCGGATGTGTTACATATCTTATGTTAATATTGTTATGCTTTTTTGTTTTGTTTGCCCAACACTTTCATTTTATTTACATTGCTATTATTGTGTTTTTTTTTTTTATTTTCATATTTTGCGTTATTGTTGTTTTTATTTAAAAAAAATTATAACGTGTGTTATCAACAACAACTCGTTGTATGCTTGTGTGTATGTGTTACCATAACTTGCAAATCACCAAAAAAAAAAAACAAAAAACACAAACACCATCTACAAGGGGGGCGATAAACTGACATTGAGCATAACGGAACAGAAGCCCACCACCGCCGTGAATTCTGGTAATAATTTATTTGGTTTTTCCGGCACGAGCACAAGTTCTAGTAATAATGGTCACAATGCGTCAACTACCACCACACCCACATCTCCATTTGCTAATGCCACTTTTATATCAGAATTCAACACCAATACCAGCACACATCAGACATCATCAACCACCACTTCTCCACCAAATTCTCTAACCATACCATCAACGACCATTCATAACAACAGCAACAATAATAATAACACTACCACCAACAACAACAGTAGCACTGGCACATCGGCATGCACCATAACAAGCAACAGCCAGTCCAATGCATCTGGTATTGGCATGTCGTCGTCCTCATCGGCCAGTACTAATGCTGAGACATCATCGCAAACGAAATGCACAACTCCCACATTAACATCGACTACTGCGGAAATGCTAATAAATGAAATATTCATTAATAATATTATCAATAACAATGTAAAAGCCAGTGCTGAGATGAACAACAGCAGCAGCAGTGGTGGCAGCGGCGTCGGCGGCGGTAAACAAACAAATGGCCTTAGCGACGTCGATTCCTCATCAACATCCTTGTCACGGACATCTACTGCCACTAATTCCGCTCCATCTGTGGGCACCCTATTGTTTTCCACATTAAGTGAACAGGAACGTCAACAGAAACAACGTGATGCCATAAATAAACAGAATTCAATGTATGCTCAACAGGCGAATGAAAAACCTGAAAGTATTTCAGATAATAAGGTTTGTTTTTTTTTCATTTCCATTTTTTTAATTTAATTTTGTTTGTTTTTATGTTAATTCATATTTATTTGCTTTACTGCTGTTATTTGTTGCATATGCATTTATGTGTTATTTTATTTTGTTGTGTTGTTTTCTTGAGCACTGCCATTGAGCTTAAAAAAAAAAAAAACTATGATGTATGTGCTTTGTAATAATTGAGCCATTAAATGATAATATTGCATATTAAACATACTAAACATTACATTTATCTTGCGAACAATGTTGAATTTGGACATGCTAGTGCGTGCAACTAGTCAAGTTTACACCAGGTCGTTTAAGGCAAACAATAATATTATGTTTGTATCATACATTTTCCAGTTTGTGAGAAAATTTCATTATTAAAAGTTTCATATCGCCTTTTTGGGCGTATCAGTACACCTAGTTAAATTTATATCAGGATATAGTCATTAACGACAAACAATGGGTTTTGTATCATAGATTTTCCAGTTAAAATACTACCAAACTCCTATGAGATAGTCTGGAAGCAAAAATCCTCGGTAAGAAGATGACATCTACTGGAAAAATATATATATATATCTTTTTATCAAACTATTTTTCAATCGGTGCTGACGATTATGATCACAATTCTACGAGGTTCTATATATATATATAGAACATAGGGATTTTGAGCAAGGAGTACGCATGTACTTTGTGATTATGATTAGCAGGTCAAGCAGACCAAACTTTAGAGAGACACATTTTTCATACATACGTTACTTAGATTTTCAGGCTCGTCGTTCTTGTGCGCAGCTCTTCCAATTTGAAAGACCATGTTTTGAAATGTGGTCTTCCACTTGATCTTTCCATCGAAATCGTGGCCTCCCCCCTTGGCTCGCTTTTATATGTCTTTTGAGCTGTGTCATCCTTAACCATTCTCACAAACTGACCTAGACAACATAGTCGCTGCAGCTCAATACGTCTGACTTCTACCCAGGAATGGTACAACTCATGGTTGGCCCAATGCTCTTTCGGAGAAATTTTCTCTCAAACTCACCAAGAGTTGCATCATCTGCTTACCCAAGTACCCATGCTTCAGATCCATACAACAATAGATCCATATCAGCGTCTTTTAGAGTGTGAGTTTGGTCTGGCGAGGGGTGACCTTGTTTTTGAATTGCTTATTCAGGCCATCTGTAACATAAAATCTTCACTACTTCGAAGCTGTAGTTTTAAAGTTCCACAAATCCTGGGCAAAAGTGTGGACATTTTACTCTGACCTTTTTGGCATTTACATATAATTATCCTTTCAAAAATTCAATAAATCCCGACCTTTAGCGTAACTTTACAGGGAGTAATAATAACACAAGCCATCAATTAAATATTATAAGTGATTTGTTTTGGAAATATTGACAACGAACTGGATTACTTAATTATTATTAATACATTTAAATAATTTTTTTATTTTTCTTCCTTTATAGCCCTATACACAGAAACAGAACCACCATCACAATCATGTCATATCAACACAAAACGATGCCATGGTGTCACCATGGTTGGTGTCATCGGAAGTCGTATCGGCGCCTAAAAGTAAAGAACCAACGATCATCAGAAAATCCGTTATTACAACACAGTTGTAAGGCGAATATTAATTTTAGTTTTTATTTTTTTTTTTCGTTTTGTTTCGGTTATAACATTTCGTGTTTGACTAATTATTAAATACAATTAACAACTATTTATTTTTCTACTTAAACAAACAAACAAACAAACAAACAAAAAAGTGATCTTGAACATTCAATTTGTGTAAAGATTTTAATTAATAACGAAAAAGTGAACAACATAAATTTACAATTGAGAAAAAGAATTTCGAAAGACAATGAATTTTCTAGATTGATAGATAACTTTAAAAAAGTTACTTAGTTTGATAAGTGCCTTAAATGCAGCTACTATATTTTATTCAAACAAAACTACTTTTTAAAATAAGTACTTAATTTAAACGTCCATTCCAATATACATGGAATACATTCCTTCCTCCGCCCCTTACTAAAAAGTAAATGACTTACCTTATTTCATAATCTAAGCATTCAGATTCGTTTCGAAATGATTAACATGGACCATCGTTAGTGAAGGCATTTATTTTATTACGTGTATCCTGAAAATATATATTTTTGTGTCTATTTAATATAACAACAAAAACATTCCAATATTTGAATGTAATTTTGATTCCTTCCATTAATGTGTATTTTATTATTATTCTTTTAATTTACATAAGTAGTTAATGTCGTATACATGTACCACCCACACCCCCCAAAAAAGTATTATATCCGAAAGCAATCATCGACGAAGAAATAAACATACAATACAAAATACAATCAAATTGAAAAAATATGGCAATTTATAAACAACATTTTTTAATTCAATAATACAATACAATAAATAACAACGATATTTTACATAAGCCTATATATATATATATATATATATATATTTTAAATATATAACTATTATAAAACATATATACATCTTTATTTAAATAAATAAATATTTCCCCAATATACATGCAAATTGATTGAATTGATTAATTATTTTATCTTGACTTCAAAAGTCACAAGTTATGTTACATTAGAAAGTTCTAATTAGCATTGGCAATAATTTATCCATTCAAGTGTGTTGATTAAACCAAATGTGGTGGTAGTGCTTGCAATATTTGAAATAACATATAATATATTATAATATTTTTAATTAAACAAATTACGTTATTATTTAAAACTATTATAATGGAAATATACTAACTCAGTAAACTTTTTATTTTAGAACATTTCCAGTTGGTACTACCAACAGAATATATTTATTAATAAATTTTGAATTAGATATTTAATAAAACTCATATTTTACAACAAATCATAATTACTTAATAGGAAAATGCTGCTTTCATAAGTTTTTTTTTCTTTCGCAGCACAAACCGACTTTAATATATAGTTCTGTTCAATTAACTGATTTGAAAAAAAATATATTTTTTTGTATTTAACACGAAATAGTTATGAGTGACTCGCCTATTTTTCTGTCTAATATATTCGGATTTGTAATGTTTTCGGCACATACACATACGGCATTGACGGTTGGTGTAATATGTCCCTAAGTGTGGCACAATAGAAACAAACGTTCATGTTCATCCAATTATATGAAAGTTTGAAGTGAAGTTCTACATCAGTCTGATTTGCTCCGACTGAAGACAAAGATGAACAGACCAAAGTCATATTTTACGAGCGCCTAGAAACAGCATATAACCGCTGCCCTGACCATGACATTAAAATTCTGCTAAGAGATTTTAATGCAAAAATCGGAAGGGAAATTATTTTTGGCCCCACCGTCGGAAAATTCAGCCTCCATGTAGAAACATTCGATAACTAGCAACAGATTCAAGCATCTCGATATACAAAAGGCCACCTAGATTTCTCCTGATCAAGCAACGAGAAATCAAATTGATCATGTTGTGGTAGACGGAAGGCATTCATCCAGTGTTTTAGACGTTCGATCGATACGAGGAGCGAATATCGATTGGGACCATTACCTTGTGGCGGCCAAGGTACGCACCCGTCTTAATGTAGCAGAAAAAGTGCGATCTAATGTATCGTCCTGTAGATATGATGATTCATTCTCCTGTAGGGATGAAGATTAAATCCTGGTGACAGATACAAATTGCGTGTTAAGGATCTGGAAGAAGCATTTTGAGAAGCTTCTGGTATCAAATAGAACCAATAAGAGATTACGGTATAGATTGTATACCACCTAGCCAAGATGAGACCAGAGTACCAGTAAATCGGCTGAAGAATAATATACCATCTTATCTATTAATGCCCGGTGGTCAGATGCTGGTCAGGAACATTCACCAGCTGATTAGTACAATTTGGCTAGTGGAATGCATGCTCAATGATTGGAACCTCAGCATCCTGTGTCCCGTGCACAAAAAAGGAGACAAGACGATATGTGTCAAGTATAGAGGAATAAGTAAGAAAGGATCCCATCGCATATAAAGTCAATGGTCAATGATATTATTGGATCTTATCAATACGACAAAATTCTGGAAAAGACCCACGAAAAATACATCGACACATTCCACTTTTTCTTCAACTACAAAGCGGCATTCGACAGCCCAATTCGCTCAGAGGTGTTTAAAGCCATGCCTGCGTCTTTCATTGGTGTGCAAGGGGTCAGCACAAGTTAAATGAATGAGGATTCTCCCACCGCCGTTTGGAAATCTTTTTTAAGCTCGGCTTATCCTTCTGTCACAAGCCAGCTAAGTAAGTAAGGATATAATTAAATTATGTATTTTAGTTTGTATTTCAGATGATATTAAACAAAAGATGTTGCTAATGAGATTATCAGAATTGCTGAAGTATTAACCAGCTTAATTATTTGACCAGTGAGCGGAGCAGTATAGTCGGACGGGGCCGACAATATGAGACCCTATCCAACTTCTACGAAAATCTAACCTTCTGTGGTTCTATATTCTGAGATTGGGCAATATTTCGCGATATTTGCACACTTTACTGGCTAGAGGTCAGCAAATGTTACTAAAAATCAGTACAGCCCCTCTAATTACTTGTCCGGATTCCCTTGGGTTCCCGTGGGTTGTGTTGTGATGTTCGGCTTTCAATTGTGGCCTATAGATCGACTCGAAAATAACACAAAAAATTAAGTTTCGGTCCATTTCATCCCAAAATTATTACCTGATCATCACCGAAAATTATAGGCGTTGTCTTTGGCCATAACTGCAACTTCGTGGAAAAGCGATTAACGCTACATTTCCGCCCTCCAGTGTGGTACTGGGGTACTAGATAATATATGAATACGTAAACACCTTTATATATTTACGTGCAACTCTCACATCCGAATACATACGACAATATAATTGGTATCAAATTTTAACTGCATCTACCTTTAAATGATGATGACACTTTGAAGCACGATTTTGACTGTTTTCTGAATTTTACTTCTAGTTTTAATGCTCAAAAATCGATTATAAGATTATTGTAGTCGCGAATCTGAGTAATTTGATATATATTTTGTGTATGTAGTATGCACAGCTTCAGAGCAATACTTATCGGAAGGTGAGAATTTTGTGCGATCAATTTTCTAAAAAACCTATTTTTCGGGCAAAATTTTTAGATCTGTCAACTGAATGATATGGGTACCCGCGATCAGTAACGTTTTTTACGTTTCGGATGATATAAAATCTTCTTCGTGAAAATCCATCTACTAGAACGGCGGGAACTGGCCTTCCAAAAACACGAAATTTGGCAAAAATGTTGTTGAAAATATCTCGTATTTATTTTTCTGAGGATAATTTCCGTTTCAATAAATGAAATGTTACGGATTTTGTACTTGTACGAAAAGAAAGCATTAAAATCTTCAGCCGAAAGGGAGATGTACCCAATTTATCTCAAAAATGCATTGTGCTGGGTCATCCATGGTTCTTAATGGAACGCGTTGATATCGGTATAGATCGAGGTATTTTTTTATGGTGCACACCGAAATTGGATGCGCGTTAATGACATATGGAGTTTTCGGAAATTATTCGCGTTTTACGAGTTTTTTGGTACTTCAATACAACATGTAGTACATCTTAGCCGTCAAATGAAATTTCGCAAAATATACATGGATTGAAAGATAAACTTCAGTATTTCCTGGTTATAAACCTTAAAACCGGATTCGGAAAAGTACTACAGTCGAATCCCTTAGGTGCAAACAGTTTAATTACAAGAAAAGTGTTTGAACATAATTGAAACTCCATTTAAACGATAAATCGGTTAATTGAAAACGAAATTACTTCCAACTTTGAAAACAACTCCGTTTAATTGAAAAAAATATATGCATTGCGTTTTGAAAACATATCTTTTACGTCATAATCAGAACAAATTTCTAACCATATATGGAATAAAGCTGTTGGAAATAAAATGTCTTTTTTGGACAATGCAGCCTGCCTTAGAGAATTTAAACATTGTATTTTTGTCAACGAATAAGACGTTATTAATTTAGCCAATAGATCAGGGGATTCGATTTTTTAATGCCATATTTGTATTATGCAGAAGATATGTCACCGATTAAGACTCTGTAACGGGGACTCCATTTATGTGCACCGACATAGACTCTCCACCTTGATGTGGTTTAAATTTCACGAACTTTGTTTTTCCGCAATTTAGTATTAAAAGGTTCAATCTTGCATATTTCCCCAAGATCGCAGAGTCATACTCAATATGTGTAGCTCCTCCTTTGCTGTCAGTATCCAATCCCTTGCATATGTACTCGGTTATGTTAAAAATTGATTCGTCTGATTCGGAGCCCTTTTTAAATCCAAACTTGTTTTCAGATATAATATTATTCTTCTCTACATATGACACAGTTTGATACGACTCATCGAAATATTGACTTCAAGTGCTCAAACATTGCATTAGGCCTTAGATGTTACTCATCGGATCACCCCTATTTTTAACTTCCTCAATACGTGTGAAAATTTTAATTTAATTTGTAAATTTCATCTGATTTATTTCGAACATTACACATCGAGATATTTTTATTATACCAACAGTAACATTGAAGATTGCATCTCTCGGTCTACCGTTTTTAGTATCCGGCACATATAGGTCAACATTAAATGTTTTATTTTATAAATTTAATGTAAAGCTAAAGCTAATTTGATTTAAAGCTAACGTACAATTCAACTCAGAATATCAGAATTTGGTTTCGAAATACATGCTTTTGTTGCCAAACTTCTTTTTAGAAAAACGTAGTTTAATTAAATTGAAATTTTTAAAAATGATATCCTAATTTGCATAAATAGACGTAAGATTTTCCCAAAGTAAACAAAATAATTATATTTTATTTATTTATGTTGTGTATAATGGAAAATAATTTGGTATACAATTTCAAATGAGAGTATTTACTGGCAAATTGGTTAAAGAAATACACAACATCCGATTGTTGTTGATGTGCATGATTATACCAACAAATCTCAACCAGTCAGCCAGCCAGCGAGCCAACCGAACAACAAAATATAGCCAAAACGATAGAATTCCATAAAAATATACATCTATACACAAACAAAATGTAGAAATGTACAGACGATATTATACCACTGTACATATGTATGTATATAAATAGAAATATGTATGCGTTCCGAGATTTTGTGATTCGAGAGAAATATGCAATATATATCGATGAATATTTTTAGAATTTCAAATAAATCGCAGACATATTTGTGAGAATTTCCTAACCCACACATATGAGCATTCATCTACATATTTCCTCGCTCGCTCATCACTATATACACACACAGACAGCTGAATTGAAGAAAGGTCATATTGGAAAATGCAAACAAGACGGAAGGTGGTATAATCGAGGAAATGATCTAATAGGGTAGCCGATTCATTACCACCGATACACACACCACCACCATCAGCATGCTAATGTCCTCTTGAGACTCGAAGACTTTGGGCTTCAAGTGCCAGCCAAGGGACCGTGTGTGTAGTACGTTCTGTTATATTTATGTCTTGGTAATATTCGTTTTGTCTTACACTTGAGTGGGGAGTGTATTTTTTAATTTTGAAGCCTTGTTGTGATTATTGTTATTATTACAGGGCCATGGTGGCCCATGACGCCAGCCAGATGCCAAACATCTGGTGGCCATATTTGAATATTTTTAGACATCACTTGAACGGTTTATTGATGGCAGCTACTGGTAATTACTGCTGCCGCTTCAAAACAATTGCTTCTGCTCATACCCCCTAGACTACTCCAGCCACTAAGGCGCATGCGTATGTCGTTGTTTTGAATAGACCTATACCAAATTAGCCTTCCACTCCACCCCAGAGGCGTAGAAGTGACGAAGGAACCAAAGTGAAATGCCAGTTTTCTTATTTTGTTTTAAGTGTTGTGTTTATCTCTCAATTTATGTTTTCTTTATTTTCTCGCATAGTTCTAAAAAAATTTACAATATCTTTTGTTCTCCTCTTTCTCAGGTCCATGATTTGGTTTTGTTGTTCTTGTTCTTTTTTCTTTTGATTGATTAAACTTAAAAATTAATTAAATGATAATAAAAAGGGGGAGGGGGAAATTATAATAGAATAGTTAAAGTTAAAATGAAAATTGTAGAATAGTTGTTTGTTGTTGTTGGAGCGTTATGACCCTCGAACACATCGATGGCATCCTTGGGAAGGCAATGGTGCTGATGCAGTGATAAATCAGCAGCAACAGCAGAAGCAGAGCTTTCGACAGCGAATGTATCGGTGTGTGAGGTCGCCGCCAATGATGTTGTTGTTGTTGATGTTGAGTGCAGCTGGAGGGGGGCGTGTCGCTTAGAAGCACTTGCGGTGGACAATGCCGGGGCCGGATTCGTCGTATTCTTGCTTGGAGATCCACATCTGTTGGAAGGTGGAGAGGGAGGCCAAGATGGAACCACCGATCCAGACGGAGTATTTGCGTTCTGGGGGAGCGATGATCTTGATCTTGATGGTGGATGGGGCCAAGGCAGTGATTTCCTTTTGCATACGATCGGCAATACCGGGGTACATGGTGGTGCCACCGGACATGACAATGTTGGCGTACAAGTCCTTACGGATATCGACGTCGCACTTCATGATGGAGTTGTAGACGGTTTCGTGGATACCGCAAGATTCCATACCCAAGAATGAGGGTTGGAAGAGGGATTCTGGGCAACGGAAACGTTCATTACCGATGGTGATGACTTGACCGTCGGGAAGTTCATAGGATTTCTCCAAGGAGGTGGAGGCGGCAGCGGTGGCCATTTCTTGTTCGAAGTCCAAGGCAACATAGCACAATTTTTCCTTGATGTCACGAACGATTTCACGTTCAGCGGTGGTGGTGAAGGAGTAGCCACGTTCAGTCAAGATCTTCATCAAGTAGTCGGTCAAATCGCGACCAGCCAAATCCAAACGGAGGATGGCATGGGGCAAGGCATAACCTTCATAGATGGGGACGGTGTGGGAGACACCATCACCAGAATCCAAAACGATACCGGTGGTACGACCGGAAGCGTACAAGGAGAGGACAGCTTGGATGGCAACATACATGGCGGGGGAGTTGAAGGTTTCAAACATGATTTGGGTCATCTTCTCACGGTTAGCCTTGGGGTTCAAGGGGGCTTCAGTCAACAAGACTGGGTGCTCTTCGGGAGCGACACGCAATTCATTGTAGAAAGTGTGATGCCAGATCTTTTCCATATCATCCCAGTTGGTGATGATACCGTGTTCAATGGGGTACTTGAGGGTCAAGATACCTCTCTTGGATTGAGCTTCATCGCCGACATAGGAGTCCTTTTGGCCCATACCGACCATCACACCTTGATGGCGGGGACGACCTACAATGGAGGGGAAGACAGCGCGGGGAGCATCGTCACCGGCGAAACCAGCCTTGCACATACCGGAGCCGTTGTCGACGACCAAAGCAGCAACCTCATCATCACACATTTTGGAGTATTTGTGTTGTTACTGTAAGAATTTGAACGAATGGGGGAACGGTTGGTTACGAATGTCGAAAATTATGTGTATTTTTTAACGAAAATAACGTAGTGGTAGAGACAGTGTGGTGTATTTTGGATTTATTTTTGTGGATTTGAAAAAAAAAATAAGCGACCGATATTGAAATGTGGATAATTGTCAATATTGCGTTTCTTGTATAGATAATTTGAAATGTATTGTTTCGGAATGTATGACGTGGAAATTATTTTTAATTAAAAATTTGTATTTCTTTTTGTCGCGGTAATGCAAATTTTTCTTTCGAAAAATGTGATTTTGAAATTTAAATTCAATTTAGATATTTTGTTCTGTTTATAATGCAGACAATATGAAATGTATCTTTTGTGCAAAATTGCAATTGATTTTTTTTAAGTTTCCGTACGTCTAGAATCTTAATTGATTTTTTTTTTAAATTTTTGTTTGATTATTTGCTTTGCATTATAAGAGAATATTTCCTGGATTTATCTTTTAAATATTTCCGTTTAATTTAAATGATGTATTTATTAAAAATTTTAAATTCAATTAATAAATGAAAATTTTAAATAAAATATTTCAATTATAAATGTATTTAAATACAAAATTATTTTTAAATTTATTTTCTTTTAATTTTTATGTTAAATATTTGCGAAACAAATTATTTAATTTTTATTATCTTCCAATTACGAAACACTTGTGTATAAAAATTTCATAATTTTTCATAGTTAATTTTAAAAATATTAAAATGTTCACTGATTTTTTAAACAATTATTATATAATCCAGGATATATATTCTTATTGCTTGGGTATTCCAAATGCCTTGGGGTAATCCTTTTCGTATTGTGTAAAGGTTTCACTTTTTCAAATATTCACAATTTATTCCAACACTAGTATCCAATACCACATACTTTTTTCGTTTTGATATTTTTTATTTTTTTGAAATATCAATATTCAATTTTTTGATTTTTTCAAATACTAACCGTTTACAAAAGAAAAACTAAGAGACTAAATCAACACTTTCGCTGTAGAACTGCGAGTGACTGCTGGATTCTGATGTACTAATATTTATACCAGGCATTGGAATTTGTGTATTCGAACAATTGGTACATATGGTTTTCATTACTCACACAGGCTCACCGAGGGCCCCCATACTCTGACAAAAAGGCGATGGCCATTTACACATATGGGAAAAAGGCGCAGGCGTTGCATAGTTTAAGGAGAAATTTCAATACTCACAGTTTTGAAATTCATAATTTGTTTAGAGAATTTTGAAAATTTCTCAATCGCTTGTGTTCTCACTACCCGCCAAAGAGCGCCAATTTGTTCTCTTTGAGATTTGTATATTTATTTTTGGTTGATTTGATTTTGTTTTTATCCTCCATGTGGGATCTTTTCAAATATTTCTCTCTCGTAAATCTGAACACACAAATGCATCTTGGCCATTCATTGGTGGTGTATGTGGGGGCATGAGGGAACTACATATGGAAGCAGGAGGTGTGGAGGGTGTTTTTCTTCTTTTTTTGTGAAAAGTCCAACAGCGCCAAACTTTTGCAATATTAAAAAAAGAATTTCTCTCGATAAAACAAATTATTACATATCTTGAAAGAAATGCGTTGATGTTGGTGTTGTTTTTTTGATATTTTTCATCTGTATCACAGCATTGGAATCTCATCCCATACATGGGAATGGAATGGGTATGGAAAATGTTGGGGCAAACAACAGATATTTGAAAAAAAGTAACAAGAAATGCAATTAAGCAATGTAAATGGATTTTTTGGAAATATTTGAAAAAATAAAAAATTATGGAAAATTTAATATAAATTAATAAATAAAAAATTAATATAATTGGTGAAAAATAATATATTAAATATTTTAATAAAAAAAAATATATCCTGTTTATAAAAAGTTCGAATATTTGTTGTATTTTTTTTTTGATTAATTTCTCTCCGATATCTATCAATTAATTAATTATAGATTCTCTCCATATACACATTTCAGAGAGACAGACAAAGAGAGGGAGAGTTGTAGAATTAAAAAAAAATCTTCAAAGAGCATCATCAATTTGTTGTTTCTGTTTTGAAAAAAAAAACATAATTATCTAAAAATAATTTAAAAAGTAGGTGGTTGTTCCGAATTATTAAAAATCTATTCGTTCTTGTTGTTGCTGCTTCTGTTGAATTTCTTTATAGAAAATTCCAACAACAACGGCAAAAAACTATTAACTAATACCATTGCATTAATTCTGTTTCTGTATTGTATCACAAATTTGTTTTTTCTGTGTTATTTTTTGCTTTGGCAAAGGAGAATTATTGAAAAACAAGCAGAAGCAGAAGAAGCAGCAGCAGCTGAAAAATGGCAATTCAATTTTCATAATTTCTAAAAAAAAATAGAATATCTAAATCAGCTTTGGTTCAGTTGAGAGCAGTACAAATTTATCAACAACAACTACACACATATGTTGTCAACAATCAAATTTTTTCGAAAACATTTGCAAGTGAACCTACACACAAAAATATTGAGACATACATATATGCTCAATGCCTCCCCACAACAACATATTTTGCCCTCCGCCCACAAGACCCTAACCGCTCATAAGCTATTTTCCTATATTTTTGTTGAAATTTGGCTTTAAATCCAATTAAATTATTTTTGGTTATAATTTTCTATTTTTAAATCATCGCCGTCAATACTTATTTGAATATTTGAATAAATCGCATCTCTCTCGTTTTGTTCTCATTCGGTTGTCACTACAAAGAATACCTTTTGTCTTTGGATAAATATTTGACCGATGATGCATATCCCTATACAATCGACGCCACCGCAATTTTGAAAAATAATGCTTATTCGGGGCAATTTGTTTACACCTGATGGACATGTTGTTATTTTCCAAATTGACAACAACGAAGGCGACAAGTGTGTTATCGTACAAAACTAGATCTACAATTTGTCTTTATTTCTTGGGTATATTTTTTATTTTTATTTAGCAAAAAAAAAAAAAAAAATAATATAATCAAGAAATAAGGATATGTGGTGATTAGTTATGGAATTCATCAAATCCTTTTGCACGGATCTTCAACTCAAAATCGAATTAAATTTGAATGTTCGATGGACAAAATATTCGATTTAGGACCGTGTTTAAAAAAAAGTGGAAACATTTTATCAAATATCTTAAGAGTGGATACAAATATTCTGAAACGTGTCGACCTGTAAAAAATTAGTGATGGTAAACACAAAGACCACTCAATGTTCCATAATCGCACATATTTGATTGATGAATGGGAGAGATCAATGTTAAATTAAGATATTTAATGTAGAATTTTTCAACCGAAATTCTTTTCGGGTAAATATTGGCCCACTTTGTATATACAGTTTTTATACCATCAATGGGGGAAAAATGTTCTCGAAAAAATGTTCTCGTTGAAATATTGGTTTAATACCCCATACTTCTTTGAACCAAATCCGTTTGAGACAATTTGGAGTCGATTTTCGCATATCCGTGCGTCCGGACTTTAATCCAAACTTTGCACATATCCCACAAAATGGTCAAAATTGTGCTAAAAATTAACTTTATAATATCATGTGAACGGACTATCCGATTTAAATCAAACTTTGTATAACCTATTATCTTTACCAAATCTATATCATGTCCGAATTTGGGACCCATTGGTCCACTCTTTCTGCTACCTGTTCCACAAATGTTGAACACTTTCAATATTTAAAATCCAATATCAGTCGAAAGCAATGCTAGATCAATTATGAAAATGGGATCCATTCTGGTACCTCTGGTAATTGGTCAAAATTTCAATATTCATAAATCCAATATCAGCCGAACTAAAATTCATATTTGAACCAAACTTTTACAACCAATTATGCATTAAATCCGAAATATGTTTAATAAAAACATATACCTAATATAAAGCGAATAATAAATCCTGAGTGTAATTCCAGTAACTGTAGGCTGAGGATATGCATGTGTTGGTCACACCGACTGACACTTTTTACTTGTTTTTAACCGAATTGGCTCCATGTTGGTTCTCAATGGATATCAAATCCTATTCCAAAAACATAGCATTTAAACAACTTTTTTTCAAAAATACTCGAAGGTGAAAGTTTTCATTTATTCATATTTATTCACGTTTAGAAAACAAAATAATATAAACGCGAAATTTATTTTGATATAAAAAATAATAAAAAAAACTAAATTGACACAATTTTTGCTTTGTCGCAACAAAACACCTTTTTGATTTTTTCATTTAAGTGGACCTCCACCATTCTCGATTTTAACCCTTTCAGTGTCAAAAAAAATTTTGTCAGAATAAACATCTAAAATTTTGTATTTAAAATCACATAAAGGCACAGAGTTTAGAAAAAAGCAATTTTTATTTTAACCTTCGGACAATTGTGTCTGTCTTTCAGCAAAAACAAAAATATCAATTGTAACGGTACATAGGTTAACCGAAAAATCCCAAAGAAAGAGAGTCATTTTAAATGTCGAATATATTCGACAAAACACTGAAAGGGTTAAATTTTCAAGATATTCAATGACCTGGTAAATGAATACCAATGCTTGTTAAGGGTTGTAACTTTGCATATATATATATATATATACTTAAAGATTTAATATAAAAGAAGAATTTTGATTAAAGAAAAAGTACCTATTTTTCTGAAAATTTCAACGGCATTAGATAGAGTACATGTCTGGATCTCGAATGAAGTAGTATTATTGACTTCGCACAAAAATTAAAAAATGACAGAGATGTCTGAGCTTTGAAGATTCCAACTAAGATGAGCTTTTTAGAAAGCCAAATCAGACTTTACAATTCTTCTCAGAAATAAAAGGGGTTTTTTGATAGTTTCCTGCTACCATAGCTTGCCCATGCTCATGAGGTTATATCCAACAATAACCCTCTCACTAATTGCGTTGAACTTTAAAATGTGTATTTTTTACTCCTGTGACTCTTTGTTGATCAGTACGAACTTATAATTCGAGAAATCATGTATTTATCTAGGGAATATTTCTTCAATTTAATATTCTGTGATAAATTATTTTCATAATCATGTTTTATCGGTGTACTGTATTTGTTTCTAGGCACTTTTCTATTTTTTGGCAGTAAGATAAATTTGAAAACCAGACACATGTTATTGTAATAAAATACATTTGGAAATGATCTATAAGAATCAAAATACTTTTTGCATGTATGCTTTTGTTTTTTTTTTAATGAATAAAGTAATTAATTTAAAACTGAAAACAACAACACGGTATGTTTATTATTGAAAAAATTATATGGCATTTAATATCTTTGCAATTTCAGTTGCTTTAGTTCTGACCACTAGTGTATTTTACAACTTTTCTTTAAAGAAGTTTATTACGCCAAAAACAGCTAAGACATTAAAAAATGCCAAAAATGTGGCATATTAAATATAAACTCTAAAACATTTTGTTGCCTGTGGGCAACATTGGCCCACAAAGGGTTAAACATTAACTTATGTTGAAATTATTTAACCATGAAACCCTGTAAACAGAAGTATTACGGGTTTTCAGGGAAGAAAATCCGAAATACTTCGTGGACATTTTTCAATATATGTAGGTCCTCCGAAATATATATGCAATGATATCACCGTTTTTTTGGTTCCTCATGTTGGGTTTGAACAATGTCAAATACCTTGTTGGTCAACATTATATAAGAGAAAGAGTGGACCAAAGAGCCGCATCTTCAAATATTATACAGATTTGGTTAACATGTTAGGTCGTTTAAAGCTTAGTTCGCTGACGTAATTTTTTTCGATAAAAGTGTATGTTCCCTTATTAGCCATAAGGCTAAGAGTATATGAAATACAACACAACTCTCATGAAATACCAACTCTTAACACAGTATGATGTTTTTTTATTCAGGAAAAACTAACAAAAATCGTTACTATTTGAATACATCTAAAAGTTGAAAAATAATTCTTCAAGATTACAAAAATATTCTGTATATTTATAAGAAAAAAAAACATTACATAGAATATGAAATCCCATGAATGCAACAATGTAATTTATTTCTACAATATTCCAATTTTATTGAATATAAAAATCTATATTCATTTGAATTGAATTTATAAATAAATTACCCATAGAACATGGGAAGGAAATTGC